GTCTTCTGCCTGGAACACACTCCCCTCGATTCTTCGCATGGCTGGCTCCTTCTCACTATTTAGGTTTCAGTTCAGTATTTCAGGCCTCCTGACTACCCTCTCTAAGATGTCCTCTCCTTAAGCACTGTAACACATGATCCTGTTTTCTTATTCTCATAGCACTTATCCCTACATGAAATTATCATATTTCTTTATCTGCTTTTTTTGTTTCTTCTGTCTTCCTACACCACAAGGTAAACCCCATCACTGCAGGGACCACATTGATTTTATGCACTGCAGTGTCCCCAACATCTATTGCGTTGTTTGTTGCATAAACCCATTGCCATCAAGTCAATTCCAACTCATAGTGACCCTACAGGACAGAGTAGAACTGCCCCATAGGGTTTCCAAGGAGCGGCTGTTGGATTCGAACTGCCAGCCTTTTTGGTTAGCAGCCAAACGCTTAACCACTCACCAGAAGGCATCCATCTGTTGCATAGGAATCCCTCAATAATTATTTATTGAATATGAATGCATATGGAAGTGGCCAGCCTCACAGAACTAAGTTGGGACATTAATATCATCATTTTACATGTGTCACCCTTAAATACTGTTGTATATCTAGGGACGAGGTGGTTGTCTGCATCAGTGCTTCTCAAATTTTAATGTGCGTACAAATTTCCTGGGGATCTTAGTTAAAATGTAGATTCTGATATCTCCCAGATGTTCAGACAATAAAAGGATAGATAAAAGGCTAGATAGATAGGTAGCTGCCATTAAGTGAACTCTGACTCATGGTGACCTTACGTACAACGGAATGAAATGCTGCCCAGTCCTGCATCATCCTCGTGATTGCTGGCATGTTTAAGTCCATAGTTGTGTCTATTAATGCCAATCCACCTCACCGAGAGTCTTCTTTCACTCTTGCTAACCCTCTGCTTCACCAAATATGATGTCCTCCTCTAGCGATTGATCCTTTCTGATAACGTGTCCAAAGCAAGCAAGTCAGACAATGTTCTGTTGTGATCTATAAGGTTTTCATTGGCTAACTTTCTGAAGTAGATCACCAGGCCTTTGTTCCTAGTCTATCTTAGTCTGTAAGCTCTGCTGAGTCCTGTTGACTCTACTGGATAGAAGGGTCACTTTTAAATCCTGTGGTAGGCATAATAATGGCCTCCCAAAGATGTCCTTGTCCTAATCCCCAGAATTTGTGGGAACATTATTTTACATGGCAAAGGGTCAATAAGGTGGTAGGTACAATTAAGTTTGTTTATCAACTGAACTTAAAATAGGAAGATTATCCTGGATTAGCCAGGAGGACCCAATGCAATCAAAAGGGTCCTTAAATGTGGAAAAAGGGGTGCAGAAGAGCCAGTGTCGGAGTGATGCCATGTGAGACTGCATCTGCTGTTACTGGTTTTGAATGCAGAAGAAGGAGAATATGGGCAACCTCTAGAAGCCAGGGAAACCCTCGTGGTGTAGTGGTTAAGAGCCATGGCTGCTAACCCAAAGGTCTGCAGTTCAAATCCACCAGGCGCTCCTTGGAAACTCTTTGGGGTAGTTCTGCAGATTCTCCTGTAGAGCCTCCAGGAGGACCGTGGCTCGAACATCAGGATTTTAGTCCAGGGAGACCCACATCAGACTTACAACCAAGAGAAGTGTAAAAGAAAAAAAAAAGTGTGTGTTGTTTGAAGCCTCTAAGTTTGTGGTAATTTGTTACAACAGCAATAGGAAACTAATACAAACTTCATCCCAAGGCATGTTTGCTGGGACAGTGTTCTCAGCTTCCTTACTTGAATAATAGAGAAAGGAGGAGCAGGCATGTTAGTAGGCTGATTGTACGTAATTATTTTAGTTCTAGTTGGAATGATCACCTATTTGAACTTTGCAATCTGCCAGGAGAAAAGATTCCCTTCCCCTGAAAGAATAGTATCACCTTGAATCTCAGCTGTCTATGGCCTAAAAGAATGGTTCCCAAGGGGTAATCCCTGGACTAGCGACATCAGAATCACTTGGGAACATGTAAGAAGTGCAAATTCTTCAGTTTCACCTCAGATCTACTGAATAAGAAACTTTGAGGGTGCATCCCAACAGCAAGAAGTCCTTCAGGTAATTCTGATGTGCACTCCAGTTGGAGAACCACTGATAACACCAGCTGTGCTTCAGAACCTCTAGTAAACTGAGAAGTTTATGTACCACTGGGTGTCATGTTGTCCATACATATAGGGGCAGGCACACAATTTTTCTGGAACTTTGAAACAATATTGTTAGCTACCAAGTGGCTGAAACAAGAAACAAACTATTTCATCAAAGTGGAGGTAGTTTCAAGTCCCTACTTTAATTAAAATTGAAATATAAATATTGGTACTGATCTGTGAATAAGGTCAGGCTGGAACTCAGAGAACGTACTTCTGTGTGTTTCAGGCCAGAGGAGATTATAGAGTATAGGCTTCCCTCACTCTTTCTTTCCTGTCTACAATCTGTTGGGCTGCCCTCAGGAAGTCAGTTGCGTGTGGTATCAGGAAACAAGGTCTACTATGGAAGCAGCTCATTGCAGCTGCAAACTGGAATAGTAGGCTGTGAATAAGGGAAAAAAAAAAAAGATTATAAAAACTTGAGAAGCCAAACTACAAAAGGGAAGGGAGTCGTGGGGAATAACAGGGAGTAGGGAAGGGGGCAGTCTCTTTTCATCTGATGTTGTTGGAAAACATACCACTGTATTAGATTATCAAATACTGATTGTCTTAGTTATGTAGTACTGTTGTAACAGAAATACAAGTGGCTGGTTTTCAAGAATAGAAATTTATTTTTCTCACAGTTCTGAAGAACCAGAAAAACCAAACCCTTTGCCACGGAGTCGATCCCGACTCAGTGACCCAGGGTCTGGACCATGTTCCCTTCCTTCCTTGTAAGTAGCTCCAGGCGTTCCTTGATTACTTGGTTACTTGTCTTCCCCAGTGAGTGTATCTCTGTGTCTATTCTGGTATAGCCTCATTAACATAACAAAAGAAAACTCCTGTTTCCAAATAGAATCACATCCACAAGTGCAAAAAAAAAAAACAAAAACCCATTGGCATCGAGTCAATTCTGACTCATAGTGACCCTATAGGACAGAGTAGAATTGCCCCATAGGGTTTCCAAGGAGTGGCAGGTGGATTCGAACTGCTGACTTTTTGGTTAGCAGTTGAGGTCTTAACCACTGCGCCACCAGGGCTCCCCACAAATGCAAGGGCCAGGAATTGAACACATATTTTGAGGGGACACAATTCAATCTGTAACACTGATATTTATCCTTAAAAAAGGATCTCTTAAAAATAATCAGATATCAGATTTAGAGCACATTCCTGCTTTCTTCAGAACATGAGCATTAAAAATATATATGTTATGCTTTTTTGCATCTCTTTTTCTCCCTTTTTCTATACGTCTACCCAGTGACACGGTTTTGAGTTGCTAAAGCCTCTTTATTAAAAGGGGGAATTTTCATAGTTAAGAAAACATTGTGAGTGGTTTTCTTTGTATCTACAGACTAGTTATCACTTCAAGGTTCTTTTTAATGCTGTGAAATGATTATTCTTTAATCCTTTTTCTCTAATCTGAGTTCTACGAATCGAGGGCCTGAAAGATGCTGACATAAGTAGCACCTCTATCCACTACCATTTGTTACAGGGGCAATCCTGACAACATGAATGTCCTAGAAAATATGAAAATCACCAAATGACCAAAAGCAGCTGAAGAGGTGAAAGAATTGCAGTCATATTGCTTTATGAATTAGACGGCTAATGGATTGTACAAAACTCCTAGGTTGTTTTTATTATCAGTTGTCCACACCGAAGATGCAGTAGGGGTCTAAGGATAGAACAGAGAAAACACATCACAGGCATCACGATCCCAACGGCACCAGCAGTGCCAGCAACAGTTAATGACTCTCTAACAGAGTTACTTGAGTTAGAAGCTTTTCTTTTTCAAAAAGGGCAGCCCCTTTGGTACATGTGCCCCTCCCTGGGGCTTTGAAGTAGGAGAGTTAAACAAAACTTAGAGCTCCCTGAAACTTTAGGGTTTGCTTTCTTTTTCTTTCCTCAATCGAGATAGCCCTCCTCTCCTCTACTTCTCAGTTTTCAGACCCTGGAACCCGATCTCTTCATTTGCAATGGAAATGTGGATAACCTACTTTGCTAAGGAAGGTCTGTATACAAAGGTTGAAAGGCATTTTTTCTTCCTTGTTTTAATTGAGCTAGGAGATGAAGCCAAGGACCTGGAGCCTTGGATGCCTAGGGAAGAGGGGCTGCAGAAGGTTGCAATTTTAATTCCAGAATTCAAGCTGACAGTAATGAAGGATAAAGTAGGTTAAGAGAATTCTGCTACTGCTTGCAGACATTAGCAAAATGGAATGTTGATTTGTCTTGTGCTCTTCTAATAAGACTCTATTTATTCTTTTCTGTTGCATTCAAATATCCTGCCTCCACCTTTCCAAAAACATGCTGAAGTTTATATTTTATTGTGTTTTTATGGAAGTAAAAATACGAAAAAAAATACTATGAATGTATTACACAATCATTATATAGAGTTTGGAAAATATACAAAATTACAATATATATTACTAATCACTTGTAACTTTACTTCCCAGCAAATAATCAAATTATGTTTACATGTTCCATTCATTACTATTTTACAAAATAAGAGCACATATGTAAAGTTTAAATTCAGCTTTTTGAATTTAATATATGAAATTGCCGAAGGGTCTTATTTCTGAAATTTAGCAATCTGAACCAAAATCAGTGAAAAAGAAACTAGATGTATGAAGGAGCAACTAGCTTTTTTATTCTGCCTCAGTTTCTCATCTCTTTGAAGACACTCTTTCAAATGTTTTAGGTTTCAGCTCTTAAACATGGCAACACACACAGTGGAACGTTGTTCCAAATGTCGCTGTCAAATGCAGTTCAGTGGTTGCCTGATTTGAACCATAAATGTTTTTCCGCAGGCCTCTAAGAGGCAGAAGTAACACAAACTCAGAAAGCACGGCCATGGCCAAATATGCCTTTGCCAGCTACAATGGCTTGCGTTTTCCTCTGAAGTTTATTTTGTGTCACATGGCAAGCTTTGAAGTTTGTGTTGGTTTACAGCTTATGACAATATTCCTGCTTTGTCCTTAAAAACCAAAAAAACCAAACCTGTTGCTATTGAGTTGATTCCGACTCATAGTGACCCTATAGGACAGAACAGAACTGCCCCATAGGGTTTCAAAGGACCAGCTGGTGGATTCTAACTGCTAACCTTTTGGTTAGCAGCCGAGCTCTTAACCACTGCACCACCAGGGTTCCATGCGTCCAAATTGTAAGAATCACTGTAATGAGTGGGACAGAGTTCTTTGGTTTCCAAAGCAGGAATCAGATATCCACTTAATGTTGTAAATCATTATTAACACAATAGGAAAACCCTTAATAGAACTAATATTTGACATCCATTCTATCTATAACTCACTTCCACCCATCGTGTTATCCCATATCCATGCATATTGCAGTTTCATATAATCAAGTAAATAAAAAATTGTTTCTTCTGGCCGGCAAAATTGTCTGATAAGATTGAGGAACTCATTTCTTACTAAGTCCATTAATCATGGCAGACGTCAGAATGTGGATATTTCCCATCTGCTGAGCAGCTGCAATTCAGTCCAGAAAGTACAAAGTACACCTAAGTGTTTTATAATTAGCTCTGTTCTGTGTCCTCTATTACTCACTGTAACAAAGCTGGGCCTTAAAGGGACAGGAACCCTGCGTTCTCCTGGGCACCCCTTCCTCACACCAGTACCACCATGTTAAGTCTCTCCCTGGCTAGTCTTCTTCCAGGGCCTGTGATAAATAATCCTGAGTGTCCATGAGTCACTACCAGGGTTCTCTCCCTGCCCTGCGAGTGGCATGGCTTCTGCTCTGGGGAAGCTTCTGATTCTACACATTCATTTCATTAGAAGGCCAGTTTATATGGAAGATGGTCCTTCCTTAGTTTGGCAAAAACACCATCCCTCTCCCTGTAATATGGTGTGCGATACAGTCTTTCACATTCCAAAAAAACAAGTCTTTCCCTTAGAAAATCAATTTGGTATGATTACACAAAAAGCGTACAGGCTGTTTAAACCTCGTATCTATTCCTTGGGCATCCCTGTGGCTTCTTGACTTAGATTTGTAAACTAAAAAGCTTGGATATAGAATCCATTTCTTATCACCCTAACCATTTGTTAGGGCTATTGAAACAGTCTGGTTTTCTAGGCTGGATGGGGAAGTCTTTGGGTGGTAAGAGGAAGAGGTGCACAGATTTTTTTGGTCCACATGTAGCTTTTAAATAGACCCTAAAAAAATCTGAAAAATTACCACTGACAGGCACAGTATATATTACCATTCAGTGCCCTCTTTCCTGCCTAGAGGATGTGCAGAGAACTAACTTTAGTGATTACTATTGGAGTCCCTAAACCATACAATCTCTATACTTATTTACTCCCCTTCTAGAATTTAGATCCTTCTGCATATGTGGGACATTTTATCACCTTTTCATGGAACATCAGCCTTGTTTCTGCCCTCTAACCAGAAAGTGCTGCAAACTGTCTTGCTGCCTGCATCTTCTCTTGTCCTGAAATCTATCTTCCATACTGTACCTAGTATCCCTTAGTACTATCATGTCTTTCTCTTGCTTAAAATCTTCAGTGGCTGCCCATTGCCTGTAGAATAAAATCTAAGCTTCTTAAAATGGCTCACAGGGCTCCTTCCTACTTCTTCAGCTACTCACCACTCCCCATTTTACATATCATTGTTGTTAGTTGCTGTCGAAGAAGACTGTGACTCATGGTGACCTCATGTACAACAGAAAGAAATGTCACGTCCTGCACCATCATCATGATCGTTGGTACACTCAAGTCCATGGTTGAGACCACTGTGTATTTTGAGTGCCTTCCAACATTGGGGGCTCATCTTCTAGCACTCTACTGGACAATATTCTCTTGTGATCCATAGGGTTTTCATTGTCTAATTTTCAGAAGTAAATCACCGATCCGTTCTTCCTAATCTGTCTTAGTCTGGAAGCTGTGCTGAAACCTCTTCACTATGGGCGACCCTGCTGGTATTTGAGATACTAGTGACATAGCTTCCAGCATCACAGTAACATGCATGTCACAGTACAACAAACTGACAGACAGAAAGGTGGTGTATTTTACACGTTATACTCTTTGAGTTTTCTCCACGAACTATAGAATTAGCTACATGCCCTTGTTAATGTTGTTTCCTTTGCCTGGTAAGCTCTTCACACCCTTGCTCTATTCTTTAATTTCTACTGTCCAATGTTCACCATAGTCACCATCTGTTCCTTGAAGCTCTCCTCCACCCTCAGAATGTGATTGAGGCCCCTTGATTGTAGTAACACAGCAACTCTGGCATGTATGAATGACTCATCATTACTGCAGACCCTCTGCTAGAGAACATAATTTGCATCAGTCAGCTGACCCAGGTGAGATTAGATACATAGCACTAGGATCCCTATAGAATCAACCTAAAAAGTTGTCATTCTTTCCTTCTAAAGAGACACACCCAAATACCTGGGAAAGATAAGGATCTATTTTTAAAGACCTTCAGAGGAAATTTCACATTTTTACCCCATAATTCATTCAAACAACTCCTAGTGAGCAACTCTTAGTGCCTGGAAATGTTCCACTGTACTTCCTACAAGTTCCTCATGCTGAGTTTCAAGCATACGTCTTTACTTTTGCTATGTCTATAACAAAATCCAGGAGACCCTGGTGGCGTAGTAGTTAAGAGCTATGGCTGATAACCAAAACATCTGCGGTTCGAATCCACCAGCTGCTCCTCAGAAGCCTTATGGGGCAGTTCTACTTTGTCCTGTAGGGTTGATGTGAGTCCAAATCAACTACATGGCAACCAGTTTGGTCTTTGATTATGAGTATAACAAAATTCATCTCTCAAGGAGGTGGATTGACACAGTGGCTACAACAATGAGCTCAAGCATAACAATGATTGTGAGGATGGTGCAGGACAGGGTAGTGTTTCATTCTGTTGTACATAGGGTCACTATGAGTTGGAATCGACTCGACAGCACCTAACAACAACAATAACATAACAAAGGAAGGGTAAATTAACTAGTGTCCATTCTTTATAAAATAGTTAAGGATGAGGAATGTTTTGACATACTCCCTCAGCTGTCATCTCTTCATGTAAAACAATCAAAACTCTTGCCCTTTTAAGAATAATTGTTCCAAGTTTTATTTGTATAACTTTAAAATTCTCACAAGGCCTAGCATTTTTTTATGCCTTTCTTTAACCATGATATTAGAGATTATCTCATACCTCCTGTATATTCTCTCTCTCGCTCTCTCTTTTCTACTCTTCCCATTATAGGTGTTTCATTTTTTTTTAAGGGGATATTGATTTCTAATTAATTATTAGCTCATTTGCCATGAAGTTTCCAATATCTGTTTTTTTGTGTCTGCGCTTAACCATTTCTATTTGTGCAGTTTATTTTCCCGCCTAAAATATACTGCCCTTCATCCATTCTTGCTGAACTGCATTTCTGATCACAGCTCTAACTTAGCAGAGTTATCTGGAATTCAGATCTTCTCTCTCAGGTGAGACACAGTAGAACATAAGAGTTTAAACCTGTAAGCAGAGGAGGCTGACCAACTTGACTGTGTGAACTGGAATGTGTATTGATTTCTCTGAACCTCAATTTCCTCATCTGTAAGTGAGAATAAGACCTACCTTATAGGATCATCAAGAACACTTAAATGGTTAATACATTTAACAGCACTTACAATACTGGAGCCCTGGTAGTGTAGTGGTTAAGAGCTCAGCCGTTAACCAAAAGGTCAGCAATTCAAATCCACCAGCTGCTCCTTGGAAACCCTATGGGGCAGTTCTACCGTGTCCTAAAGGGTTGCTATGAGTTGGAACCGACTCGACGGCAACCAACAACAACAATACAGACTTGGAATAGGTGCTTAATAAATGTTAGTTGTTATTTCTTTCTGTCCCAGATCATAAACTAAAATGTTCAATTTTGGGCTATCATCTTAAGCATCCTACTTGTTTTGCATTCCCCAAATGACACTAAATCACTGATGATCGATTTGAGAAAACTCTCCAGCTCCTTGTGTCCCCACTGCCAGCAAGTCAAATAAGAATGTTACAGGATAACATTTTATTTCCAATGTCATATTAGGTGCATTGTTTCATCAGGTGCAAAAACTATTATAGTCTTCAAAAGTTCCTCGGGTAAGGTACATACGATTTAATGGTGGAATGCATTCACAATTGCTATAGTTGTTCAAGTAATTCTGAATTTTCTTTTCTAATTCTAATATTATACTATTAATTTACTTAGTTTTATATCAACACCTTATTTTACTGTGCTCTAATCTTCCGCACACCAAAATCTTTCAAAGTGCCATTAATACTCAATCAGACCTGTCTGTAGTTGAGAAAAATATGGAAAACTTCTGTAGTATCCAGAGCCCTGGTGGTGCAGTTGTTAAAAGACCAGCAGTTCGAATCCACCAGCCACTCCTTGGAAACCCATATGGGGCAGTTCTACTCTGTCCTATAGGGTCGCTATGAGTCAGAACCCACTCGACGGCAACGGGTTTGGTTTGTTTTCTTCTGTGGTATCCCATTACCATGTGTTACACTAAGGTTGAGGGGTCAACAAACTTTCTCTGTAAAGGTCAGGTAATAAACGTTTTAGACTTTGTGAGCCATAAGGAGAGTCTCTGTGTGACACAAAAGGTTAAGTGCTGGACTACTAACCAAAAGGTTGGTGGTTTGAACCCACCCATACTTGGCTCAGAAAAAAAGGCTGGTAGTCTACTTCTGAAAGATCATAGCCTTGAAAACCCTATGGAGTGCAGTTCTACTCTGTAACACATGGGGTTGCCATGAGCTGGAATCAACTCAAATGCAACTTGTTTTGCTTTGTTTTGTTTTTTGTAAGCCACGTGGTCTCTGTTGCAACTATTCAACTTTGCAGTTATAGCAGGAAAGCAACCATAAACAATACATAAACAAATTACTATGTGTATATTCCAATAAAACTTACATAAACAAGTGCCCTG